CGGGCGCGCAATAAATGCTGGCGCGCGCGCTGCGCCCGAGCTTCTCGCCATTCGGCATCGCTGCCCCCGCGGCCGGCCATCGCGAGCCCCGTTCTCGAGACAGCGCGGAGGCGCAGCTTCTTCATGACAACGCGCGCATCGCTCCATGGCGCGCGAATGCCCCTGCACACCGCGCGATCTCCCTCGAGGCCCAGGACAGACAGCACTCTCTGCCGCATTCTCTGTTGCCAGAGCGGAGTAACCCTGTGGGCAAAGGGCGTCTGGGCGCTGCTCTGCCAACTCGGCCCTGGGAGTTGCCGCAGCCCGTGGCATCTGTCTCATGGGCACCCGGGCGAGTTTCCTCCATCGTTTAACATCCCCGAGAAAGAAGTCGGTTAGGAAAGAAGGGTCGAACAAATATTTGCCCCTCTTCTTCGTTTCGGGAACGCCCCGCTTCGCGGCGCCGCTGAGCTCGCGGCAACTCGCTGCATTGTCGCCGAGAGCGCTGGAATTGTCGCCAGCGGAGACTGGGCGAACGTCGGATTGCTCCAACGCGTCATCTGCGTCGGGTTTCCTCAACGCGGTCGTCCTATCTGTTTCTTCGCATCTCGCCTCTGGAGACGAATCACCAGCAGCCGCATGAAGTGAATCCCGGGAATCAGGGACGCATCGGTCGTGAGTGCTGCGGCGAATTCGAACTGTTGGAGTACCTGCTCAACCGTTGATTATTCGGCAGCTCGTCTTCGTGAGCGTTGAAAGCTTCTGTCATTCGCTCATGGACTACCAACGTCGCCATGCCCATGTCATCCTCCGCGGCCCCCGCTGCCACCGCGCTCGGCACTGGGGCGGTTGCGCCATAAGAGTTACCTCGAATATCCGCGGCTGCGTCTGCATCTTCAGGCCCATCAATGCTCGCATGCGGGGCCAGGCCCAGCGCGCGGTCAACCGTGGAAGCTCTGCGCGCGACAGGGGGCCCGCGTTCATCAGGTGGGTTCTGGTATAGCATCTACGCGTGCACCGCGCGCAGATCCTGATGGCGCTGTAAACTCTGGACCCCCGCCATGAAATTGCCGCGCGCAACGCGCGCTCCGTTAGATGAATCGCCGCTGGTCCTTGTCACGCAGTGCTCGCGCAGAGCTCGCGCAGTTCCCGCGGCGTCGCCCAAGCGCCATTAAATTGGCACCGCGATTCCCGCTCGACGAGAAGGTTGCGCACTTGATCGAGGTCCGCCTCATGGGGGTTCGATCTCATCGCGCGTCTCTCGATGACGGGCACGGCGACGCAAGCGCGCAGGCCCGCGGTCGGCGCCCCAGGTGGCGCCTGGGCGACGGGGGCCCACCCCTGGCTGCACAGGGGGCGGGCGATGCCCCCTGCTGCCGCCGCCCCGAAAGTTCGGCATCTATTCTCGGTGGGCCCGAGTGGGAGGGATAGGAGCGGCGACCGCGTCCTCCCTTGTGGGCTCCAGGATGTCTTGCGCCGATTCTAGCAATGCGTTTACTGAGCCATATTGCTAGCCGTGGGCGGCATCGACGCGCGCCGCTTCCCCCGCCTCAAACATGGGGGCGGGCTGACCCGGGGGCTCGTCGGCAGCGTCGGGTATTCCCCGCGCCCCGCCGCTCGCAGCGCCAATCCCCCCTGGCGCGTCGACCCCCATCTGCGACCTCTGCGCCGGGTTCGCCGGCGCTCAGCGCGCTCCGGCTCGCCCAGGAGAAGCGGCGCCAGCGCCAGAAGCACCGGCGCCGTTCTTGCCGCGCGCATGCGGCCCCGCATGAATTGCTGAAAGACGCGAGGAAAAGGGGGCTTAACTGTCGCTTCCTCGCGAGTCGCAATTTAATTTGGACAAGGGTTCTTCCGGTCGCGGCGGATGCGCGGGTCGCAGCTGGGCGGGTCTGTCCAGAGGCCATCGCTGCTCCTAGCTGGGCGGGCCAAGCGGCGCGCCCCGACGCAGCGGCCGTCCTTGCATCCGCGCGGATGCAGCTGTCAGCATTCCACGCGTGCGCAGGGCACGTGAGCCTCCTGTCTAGTCCGCCCATGTGCTCTTGCAGGCCGAGAAGAACGACATCTGCCGGGCGCGCCTAGGCCCGCCAAGGGATGAGACCAGGGCGGGGAATCGAGGTCAAGTGGCTGCCTTCGCTCCCGTGCCACAGCAGCGGCAAGGTGCGGCGGTCAGTCCGCGTTCATTCGTCGGCGCCGAAGCGCAGGTTCATCTCGGCGCGCATAGACCGAGTCGCCGCCCGCTGCCTGGAAGCAATGAAGGTCGTCTCGTCAACGCGCGCACTGTGATAAGTATGTTCCCCGACCTAGTGGTACTCGCCAGCTTGGATGATCGCCGCTGGCTAGTCGCCGAGTGGCTTCCGTGGTCCTGGCATGGGTCGCGCGCGATCGCGCAGCGACGCCTCCTGCCTGGCATTCTCAGGCGACGTGAAGGCGAGGCGCCGCTGGCCCGGCGAGCCCACTCATTGTTCGTCTTCGGCCATTGTTTCGACTAGTCAGGCAGCTCTATGGACAATTGGATCCCCTTTCACGGCTGTTGCCATTTCCGCGCCGATTAGCGCGTCTTGCAGTCTTCGATGATATCGGGCGCATGTGCGGCGGGGCCCACGCGGCCGCCATGCCGTGGGTCGCGTCGCATCCATCGGGCACGTGTCTGCCCTGTGCTGTCTGGCGCACCGATGGGGCCCTTCGGGCGCGGTCTTGCGCCCGCGCGCCGAGCGCCGCCGCGGCGTCGGCAGCGCGCCGCGGAGCTCCTGCGATGGATCAGGGAAGAATTCCCCTTCGCAGCGCGCCAGTGCACGCGGGGCGGCAACCCTGGCACGGCATCAGCATCCTTCCGCTGCTCCCACGTCTGTTTTGGAGGCTGCGCCTGGAGCTCAGCAGCGAGCATCCCGCCGCAGTCGCCCGAGCCTCGCTTCTACCCGCGCCGCGGTCGCCTGCCCCTTGGCCCGTGGCGGCCAGCGACGCGATTGGCATTGGCTTCGCCTTCAGAAGAGGCCCGGCCGACGCCTTGGCCTTTACTGGATTCGCGCTAGGTTGCCCCTGCGAGACACCGCCGCCGGGTCGCCCCGGCAGAGCGCCAGCGCCGGGTTGCCCCGACGCCGTGGGCGCGCTGACCAAGAGCTTAGGTAGATCCACGATTGGTAGATCCGCCTGAGGTGCGCAGTGGCCAGGTGCGCATCCATTCCCTCGCGGGCTTCGCCAAAGCGTTGGGGGCCTGGTGGCGGGTAGGTCTTCGCGCCGTCTCCGCGCGCCCCTAGGCTTCCCACTCAAGCTGGCCGCGGCAACATCGACGAAGGAAAAACTCGCTAAAGGACCGGGCACGACTGGACCGCCAAGCGCTTGCCCAACGCCACCGCAGCGGCAGGTCGATGGGCGGCGCCGAGAGACGTCATCAACTGACGCCGGTGGTGTCGGTTGCAGCTCAACAGCGCTTCGTTGCACTGATGCAGCTCGCCCAAGATCACGCTCGCAGCTTCCACGGTGGAGAACCTGGCCATGGCCCTCGCCGCGCGCGCCATTTCCGTCTCAGCGGCTACCGAGATGCCCGCGCGCACGATGGACGCTATCTGGTCTTCAGTACCTGCTCCAGCCTGGAAGTGCAAGGGGTCTCCTTCGTGGCTTGCCCACCGCGCATTATACTGAGGTCTTGGTTTTTGCGATGAAGACCTCGTAGAAGAGCTCTTGCAGCTGTCGTGTTGCTGCGTCGAAAAGGGGGGCTCTGATGCTCCATGCCCTGCGAGCGCCGGGGCCAATCGCGACCGCGATATCGACGCCCTCGCTATCCCCAGGCGACCAGATGCGCTGGGGCCGAGCTTCTCCACGAGCTGGCCGAGGGACTTGGCCGATTCTACGGACGACGCATCCGCGTGGACACCCGACAGAGTTAAGCAGATGCAGCGATGTTGACGCAGCGGTCCGTCAG